GGGCCGAGCATCGCCGCCTTCGGCTACCGTCTGTCCATAGGTGGCCGGCCGTCTACCCGAGGGTTGAAGATGAAAAAAAAAGCGAAAAAAAGAAAAAATTAATAAAAATTCGAAAAAATAAAAAAATAATATTAAAATTTTAATTCAATGTGAAATTGTCACATATGTACCAGTTTTGGGTTTTCTGTGGTAAGTTCAGGGTAAAATTGTCACATGTGTACCAATTGGGGTTTTCTGTAGTAAGTTCAGGGTAAAATTGTCACAGGTGTACCAGTTTGGGGTTTTTGGTGGTCAAAAAAATAGTTCGGGGTAAAATTATCACATGTATACCAATTTGGGATTTTTTGTGATCAAAAAAATAGTTTGGGGTAAATGTGTCACAAGTGTACCAGTTTAAGGTTTTTCGTGATATTAACCCTATTTTTTTCCATAATTTTTTGAAATTCGGATAATATCCTCACTTTATGACGCGGTAAATAAAGAGTTACCCATTTGCTTTAACATGCCCTCAATCCATAAAATTTACAACAACAAAAAGAAAACAATTTTAAATCTGAAACTTTTATATATATATATATATATTCCTGGACCCTTGTCTTGTGAGAAATTATTCAGTGGTTACCAAACACCACGTCATCGTCCTACGTGGCGCGCGTGTTCCACCCAAAAGACGACATGTGTCGCGTGACGTGGCAATGGAAGGAAGCCCTTTTGTCTCTCTCCTCTGGCTGGTTGGTGGGGAAAGTACTGACCACAGTAAATATTTATTATCTCTGCGCTCTCGCTCTCTCTCCTCTCTCCTCTCTCCTTTCTGTAACGTGAAGGAGGTCTTTTGCCTTCTCTCTCTTCTGCAACCCATTCTCTCTTCCTCTCCCGAGCTCACCCGAAGCCCTCCCCTCCTTCTTCTTCGCCTCCGGCCTCGCCTTTCCGACTCCGGCTCCAGAAACCGTCTGGAGAAACCGCCTGCCTCGGGTTCCGATTTCGGGCTCGGACGATTTTGATGGGGAAGTGATTTCCTTTTGGCGCCTAAAAATTGAATCTTGACTTTCCAAACACACTGAAATTCCAGTGCAAACGCTCATCTCATCGGCTTTCGTAGCTTCATCTGCTAAACCCATCTTCTCTCTCGCTCGCTCGCTCTCTCGCTTGTAGCTTTGGGATTCCGGCGACGCCGTCGACGGCCGTGGGGATGTTGTAATGGAGGAGAGAGAGAGGAGTATGGGTGCTCTGTTTAAACCCATTTTCTCTCACGCTCGTAGCTTTGGGATTCCGGCGACCGCGGCTATGGAGGATCGGTATTCTGCTTCCATGGGTATCCATGGAATGGCACGCAGGTAAATTTTTCTGTTTTCAGGCAGAGCTTCTTCTTAATCATGATGACGGGATGGTTTGTGAATAGCTTAACAATTTATGCGACTGTTCTAGAACGATTCAGATGAGATGTCATTTGTATTTGTGATCACCAGAAAGAATTTGGTTGGAAGCTTAGGATACTGACTTAAGTCGTCAAAGCTAGAATCGAAGAAACGGTAATGAACTTGTTCAAGTTTTGTTCTGAAAGGAATTATAGTCAGTTCAGTTCATTATAGCCATCTTCAACGTGCAAGGACGCTAACCTGATTCTGCTACTTTCAATATGCAGGCGTTGTTTGGTATATTTGCTGAGCATAGAGGTGTAATCGCTACTGGGTTTGCTGACTTGAGTAAGTATATCATAGATGAAGTGGTGAGAAGAGACCAAGATGAAACAGAGACGGTTACCTGAAGACCGATTTGGATTTTTTGAATGAGGAATCACGAGGCAGCTCATGCTGTGTAACTGCGTTGATTAGAAGGGGCAACCACTTCGTGTTTAAGGCTAGAGATTATCAAGCTGTTCTTTGTTGAGCCGGCACTGAAGAGGCTCGTACATCTGATCATAGGCTTTGCAGGGAAGATGGAAAGGAACGGATTAAGGCTCTCATAACATTCTATTCATTTTTTACTTGTAAAAAGATACTGCGCAATTAAGTTCTTTTACCTTAGCCACTTACATTCTGAAATCGCCTGAGTTACCAAACTCTGCTTGTGTAGAAGCTTGTGAGATTTCTATTCATTTTCATGAAAGCTAAGATTAATGATCAAGCTATTGTATCATGTATATTATGTTTTATTTCTATGTATACGGAGTGGGTCTATCCATTAATTTCACTTGAAAAAATATTCTTTTCTGTTGTCGCGGCTGTGAAAGTCGTTTAACATACATGATTTATGTCCTAATGCAATGGCTTCCCTTCTTGTCTTGGAGTTTCTGTAAGCACCCATCATGAAGGGAGCTTCAATAGAAAATCGAGTCCCCTCATAGTTGTTCAATAGCATAGCTTAGGATTGTTGTTGATAGTGTAGCTAGAGTCCCCTCATAGTTGTGACTTGCGACAGATGAGTTTTCAAAGTGAGATCTAGATACAAAAAATAAAATAAAAATGGATCGTTTTGTATGATTCATGTCACAATTCATCATCATGCTAGTTTGAGGTGCCATTGGCAACCCCTCTCCCCTCTCTCTCAAATGTTTCTCATGTTTTTCTAGAGGTGGAATCAAGGCATAATGTAGCACGTCTCCAACCAATAAGCGCGAAATAACGTAAAAAGAAAGACCAATCCCAACACACCAGCGTAGAACATTAGATCCGTGAGGGCGAGGATATACACCACACGAAAAAGAGGACTTCATAGCAGAGCATCTCCTTTTCTAAATCAACTAATTCGAACTACTTCAATAAAATAACATCTCAAGCAAGCTGCAAAAGATCAACAACACTGCAATCAATTCTCTAATAGACAAATCCAATAATCGAACAGTAATAAGTAAAGGGTTCACACTCCAATTTTTTTTAAATATGTCAACGAGTTTATCCAGCATCGATTCAAACTCAAATGCGACAACCTCGCTAACCAAACATGAACGAATCCCAAAAAAATAAAGAAATCAATCCGTCTCGAGTTGATTAATCCTATGAATTTCAAATCAAACTAACAGAACATCTGGCAGAAAGCAGAAAGAACTATCAGAAGCTGAAGCGCTATTGAGAAAAATGGAGAGAAGTTCTCTTCTTTTTCTTCTGGGTATGGCAGATTCAGCATATAGAACACTTGAGTTTGCCTATAATTTCCGGCTGACTCGAGATCGGGTCAGCCATGCCCAACTCAGAAAGTGCGAGCAAGCGAGCGAGAGAGAAGATGGGTTTAGCAGATGAAGCTACAAAAGCCTATGAGAATGAGTGTTTGCACTGGAATTTCATTGTCTTTGGGAAGTCAAGATTCAATTTTTAGGCGCCAAAAGGAAATAACTTCCCCATCAAAATCGTCCGAGCCCGAAATCGGAACCCGAGGCAAGCGGTTTCTCCAGGCGGTTTCTGGAGCCGAAGTCGGAAAGGCGAGGCTGGAGGCGAAGAAGAAGAAGGAGGGGAGGGCTTCGGGTGAGCTCGGGAGAGGAAGAGAGAATGGGTTGCAGAAGAGAGAGAAGGCAAAAGACCTCCTTCACGTTACAGAAAGGAGAGAGGAGAGAGGAGAGAGAGCGAGAGTGCAGAGGTAATAAATATTTACTGTGGTCAGTACTTTCCCCACCAACCAGCCAGAGGAGAGAGACAAAAGGACTTCCTTCCATTGCCACGTCACGCGACACATGTCGTCTTTTGGGTGGAACACGCACGCCACGTAGGACGATGACGTGGTGTTTGGTAACCACTGAATATTTTCTCCTTGTCTTGACCCTGGCCAACATTTTTACAGGGATTTCAACATTCAACGCAAAACATCCCGTAGAACGCAATGATAGAAAGGCACCCCCTTGTTTAACGGTCACGGTCCATGCCCGAGAATATCCGGATTCCGCAACGCACGCTGCAAGATGTCTTATGTTCATACATACCAATAATCCGCGTGATGATATCACGGTCAGTTCGATTGCTGCGAAAGCTCACATTGGCCTTTCCTTGCGAAAGAGAAGGTGTTTTCCTTGCAAGCGACCACCAACTATGTCCCGAGAATATACTTGGGATGAGGTCATTTTGAAGCGAAGGAAATTTCATGTTTGATCGAGTCGTGGGTTGAAGTCTTTCAGGTCATTAGGATCAAGAACATCGGTTTTGGCGACCAAGTCAATGTTGGATTCGCAAGCGAGACTGATTGAAAGTCGAGATTTTCAGTCCTAATCCTATTGCACGGGTGTCCATTCAGCCCTAAACTTTCCAACTTTCGCTAACTTGGTCCTAAGCCTTTGCGCGGAATTCCAACGTAGTCCCTCCAGCAAATTTTCACCGGAAATTACTGACGTGGCGGTCCGGTCATCGCCGTCGTGAATTCAGAATGGCCACAATCTAACGAGACTACCATGGAACATCTATTCATAGGTGGAGCAAGATCTTCTATCCTGGTCCATGGTTTCTCTTGAACTGGCTAATATGTTATCCTTGTTCGCTAATGAATCGACTGATTAAACTAAGTTTTGAGTCTTTTTCTTGCACGAGACATCACTGTCACTGCACTTGCGCTGGAGATTGCCTCTTGATAGCAAAAGTGCGCATGCGTATATCCTTGAGGAATATCCCTGATGGAAACTTCTTGCTAAATGTTGATTTTGGCGAGGGTCCTCCCGCTCAATGTCTCCAGCGATGGAAATCAAGAGAAGTCAACAGCTCTTTGGCGTTGAGAATGTAAGGTTAGTACAACAATGACTGCGACGCCTAAATTATTAAACTCTTCCCGTGTTTGAAACTTTGAAATGTCAATCCTAATCTGTGCCTCTGCACCAGAAGAAAGCCTGGTTCGGCCTTGCATGACCTTTCAGGCTCAGAAAAGTGGCATTAGTTTAGCCGTGACGAATCGGCCTTAAAATGTAGGCACACGAAATGCGTGAATCGTCCCCTTTGAAGAATATATACTGTCACTGGCCAGACAAGGATAGTCACATTAGAAGAGTTAAAAGAGCGCATGCGTTCACGAGTCGTTTGACCATCGGCTAGAGATGAGGCAAACTTCTATAGGTAATATTCTTGACTCTTGAGCGAAGCGCTCCGACTTAGTAGTGAAAGTGATCGATGATGCAGACTTGTCCTTGAACAATATGAATACAAATCATGTGGTGCATGTCTAAAGAAATTGCAAGTGAAGCTGATTCCATTTTCAGGCTACCGTGAGGAGTTCAGCAGGAGAAGAAACCCTTTTTTCTTTAAAAGGATTCTACACTTGCAAGGTCTTGAGCCTAAGGCTACAACTGAGAAGTTCGCATGCCACACATGTACTGTTGAATTTGCTTTGTGAACCTGACCATTAGAGGCTCAGCTTGGTGTCTTCCCTTGTTCGACTTTTGTGCCAAAATAAACTTCCTTCTTCGTCTTAGGTTCAAGTGCCAGCTTGCCGATGCTCGTTCCCGCAATATATGCACCAGACCATGCATTCTGCAATTGATGGCGTTTATAAACCATTGCACCTTAGTGGGCTGCTGACTCAGGCCGTATAAAAGTAAGCTATAGCTTGGTAGTGAACACCATCTCATATTTATCTTGACTAAACATACGGATATACTCGGAACGTGAATTAGAAAACGCCCATTAAGGAGCGGCTGGTAAGCAAATCTTGAGTGAACCTTTGTTAAGAAATAGCAATAACAAATTAACAATGACTTCTTATAAACCTTAAATTTCCCTAACATGGGCCAGGACTTCCATATGAGCATTGAACATTGCACAAAGAACAGTACTAACCTGAAAATTGAAACCACCAGTAACACCATCAACATTCAGCACCTGCAGACAAAGGCGCAATCCTGAATGTTTACTGAAATTGTTTTCTCTTTCTTTGGGTTCTTAGGCATCGAGTTGGAAATTGATGCAGTCATAATTACTCGAAAATTGTTAAAGTGAAACGAAATCCACATCACCACCACAACTGTACCTCGCCTGCAAAAAACAGATGGGGCCGTATCTTGCTTTCCATTGTACTAAGTGAGATCTTCATAAAAGACAAACTAATCAGTTTTATCTTTAGTTATGGCAAAGAACAGACAGTTTCATATGAAAAATTATAAGAAAGAAAAGAGAGCGAGCGGAGGAAAAGGGGAGAACCTCGGATAGGGGGACACCTCCAGCAGTGACAAATTCATCCTTGAATTGGCCCTTATGACATAGCTTGATAAGGTTAGAACAAGAGAAAACCATCCAGATATCAGTGTCCAATCATAGAATCCTTACCTTTCCCATTACCCGAAACATACACTGCTTTAACAGAGAAGCAACACCAATCAATGAATTGTTTGAAATGGAAGCCCAGAGAATATCTGCATCCACACCCTGCAAATTAAAGATGAGAAGTATAATGCATACCGCTGAAATAGATTATCCACGTGTTTGAACAGCAAAGGTGGTCATACTCATATAACCTCATGATCCAATATATATTTCCAAAATCTCTTCACAATGCCAAATTCCAAAGGACAAGCATTGAGCAGCTTTTGTTTCTGCAAGATGAAGACATACAGGGGGCAACATTAGGTCAAAGAATAATTAACTGGTAGAACACTACCCTAAACCCGAAGGAGGCATATGGAGCTGATAAAGAAAAGATGATAATGACAAAATTGGAACTGGATGTATTAGACATGGCAAAGAAGGCAGCAAAATAAAACAAAATTGCTAAATGTCTATTATGAAAATATAATTAAAAAAAGAAATTGTTAGATGCCAAATGTTTTACGCATTTTAATTTACCAATTCGGTGAATTACTATGTAAATCTAGGCACCATAATCCAGTTATTGTTTGTTACGGGGTAATATAACAAGATTTTATTGTGTACTCTCGAAACTCAGTCTATGCATATAAATACAGAATGCAAATCCATTGTTGTAAGAAATTGGAGAACTGAACTAGGAGAGTAAGATCTCATGGCACAACATGGTGCCTACTAAGATTACCAAAAGGCAAATGAACAATTTTTAATCTTATAGCCAGCACTGGTATGCACTTTGTTGGCTGCAAACAGTAAAAATCAGGTTTTGATGAATATTGTCCTGCATATGCAAGAATTTTCTTGTTCTGGGGATGAAGAGAAGAAACAAAAGCCTAGAATTAGGACGACCCTGATGTCAGCCTGAAATGTTGTTGTATCTTTCATTTTGATTCAGTTGATTTCTTGATCTTCCTGTTGCTTTCCATTGACAGTGCCGTGTTTCAAATGATGTAAAAGCAATTCCTTTGAAGATATGAAACATATGAAGAGCAGGGAGGGCTGTTTGAGCAACCTGTTAACAGAAACTGAAAAGCAGAAACATCAGTCGATTTGATATCAGAATTACCGCAAACCGCTGCTTTTGTTTCGTTAGGATGGACTTCACATCTTCCATTTTAATATCTGGTACAAAATCTACAAAAAGATCACCTGCATAAACAAAATATATCAAGGTTAAAGACACAAAAATATACATCAGATAACTCATGCACATAGCAGTCCTACCTTCATAATCTGAACTAAAAAGGTGACGAGCTCCCCAAGCAGACAGTCTTAAAATTGCAGGACCACTAAGTCCCCAGTGTGTAACTAACATGGGTCCAACCTGAAAGCCAACTTCCAGTCATTGGATACATCACAAAGCTCTAAGCACTACAAAAGGAAAGGATTACCTGTGTAAGTAGGGGTATGTTCGTCTGAACATTTTCTAGTTTCAGCTTCACACGAACTTTAGGGAATGTGACCTGGACATCATATATATACACTATTTTTCAAAAAACAATGAAAACATTTGAAGTTCAAACACATAAGTGGGACCTAACTGAAGAAAGTATACATAAGCATAAGTAGCTGAGAAAGGGAAGCTTATACGCAAAGAATCTACTTATCCTTTGTTATCATGTTTGAGTGTCAGTCAGATCAGTAATTCAACAACAACCAGAATTACCATCATAGAGATCACATATTCTCAACATATTATGGTAAAGAAGAATTTTGCATAATAAACGCATTTAATTATTAATGAGATGAATTTTTCTTTTCCAAACAAAAGTTGAACAGTTTTGCCAAGAAAAGTAAAAGTTCATAAGAAAATCTTTTCAAACCTTACCTAGATACAACTGTCTACTTTGATCATAAATTCATTGTATGTAGTGAAGTTAACTATTAACAATAGCATCTATTATTACATGTTGAATATGTGAAAGAGTATAAATAACTTTTCGCAAATACACAAAATTTTAACAACTCTTCTAAAATAAAAACTCATGCGAAGCATGTGTAAGAGCTATATATGTATAAAAGGCTGCGATGAAGCTACCTTAATGCAAGCAGTTGTTTCCTATGGCAAGAAAAAAAATATAGGATAGAGTATCCTCCCATATGCTAGCCATACTCTTTAAATAGATATTTTGACTCTATTGCAAGAAAAATGCAAGTTGGTTTAATAGTTGCTGATAGTACCCCAGATAACTCGGCTAGCTGTGAATCCTCAATTTTAAAAGTGAACAAGCTAGGAACTGGATCCACAATAGAATGACCAAGCTGAGTAGCTAAGACATAACCCTGAAACAAGAATACGAAATCCATCACATTCTTCAGCCAATGAGGTTGGCAAAGTTTTCAAGTCAAATCCATCACAACCTGCCGGCTGCTCCCACTGGCTATCAGCAGATAGTCAGCTTTGAGATTTTCCATATAGTTAGTTGCACGCTTCTCAATCTTGACCAGAAAGTTCCCATCAACATCTCTAGAAGCACTGGTGACAACTTTGCCAGTCTGTATTAGAACTAAAAGAGAAATTCACACCTCAGACAAGACAAGTTGCAAGTACTGTATCTTTAAGCCATGTGGAGAGATCTTCAGCACACCGGACCATTTAGTAACACAACCATCTTTTCTTTTTGCCACTAGAGCTGAACTGAATTAAATAATGTTCAGAAGAAAACCCTTTTGAATAGTTTCCTTATCCTTTGGCACTGTCGAGGTTGAACATGCAATTTTTACATGAAAAGATGCCTTCTAGATTGGGGGAAGAAAAATAGTTCTCAATTGCTTCAGACAATAAAAGAAGCACCCTCCAGCTGTTGTTGCTCCAATGTTTGATTACAAAAAGAAGCTAACACACATTTAAAACCTTCAGAGTTGACATAATGCAGGCAGGTATTAAACTATCAATCTCAGACAAAGGGTCTTCAGCTTCTAACAAATCCACAACAAAGAAATGATGCAAAGACTTCTGGAAGTAAAAATCGGATGCAAGCAGAATGTAATCACTATTTATAACAGAGCCACTTACCTCCTTTTTGCTTGGCTTCAGACAGAAGACAGTCAATTATCGAAGATGAACTATCGCTAATAGGAAAAACCCTTCCATCGTCCTCTGTCTGCAGAAAGGATGCAATGTTAAGCTATTAGATGATACGGCTTTGCCAAATAGTAGGTTAGCTTCGAGCACAACCTTGAGTTTGACACCATGTTCAGAAAACCAGGTCATTGTGTCCATTGGACCATGCATGCTGAAAAATGATCCTCTTAATTCTCTGTGACCCCTAGGGTAATGTTCTGCCAAAACCTGCAATCAAGTTTGTCATCCCGAATTTTGTAGCTTGCTAAATAAGGAATTCTTCCTCAAACACACTAGTGATATCATGAAAGGCAGATTGGGAGAAATTTTGCCCATATATTATGGGGGCAGGAAATGCATAACACTGTTAAGAGTCCAATTCCTCCAACAAGTGGGTCTCCAAGGTGATGTATGCAAAAACTGTAGTTCTCTCCATCTTTAAGATTGCTTGAAGTGGACTCAGTACTCTTTTTTCATCATTGACAACTTTTTCTTTCATGGTAACTAAAGAAAAAGCCCATTAAGCAGACAGCACAAGATTCTTTCACTGCTCCAAGTTCTGAAATTGATTAAATAATCAAGTCTGCTTACACAGATTATACATGACCAGGTATTATACTCTATTGGTATCTGCAACGCACAAACATAGTTTTGGTTATTCTCCTCCTTGAGTACAAGTGCAATAAACGCATGATTCTGGATGAGCGAAGGAGTTTTCAGTCCAGTCAACGGATCCTCCACTAGATAACAAAACAAGCTGAAAATGAAAAGGCAAAAAGCATTGATTTTTTACTTGAACTAGATAACAATCATGGGCATGTGAACTCTGATGGCTTTGTTGTACATAGTTTGTAGATCAGCAACAGAAACATCCAAGATTAGGCTTACATTCATAGCAAACTAATCAACCATTTTTGCCAAGCAACATTAACTCCTGAAAGCTTCTCTTGCAATTTTAACTCACCAGGTTTTCTGTGCAGTGTGCATTCGTTACATTGCAACGACCTCCTCCAGATATTTTTACCTGCCAAGAATGGCAAAACTTCACAATGCGTACTATCCAATCATCACTGCATCAACACAACAAACCTCCACAAAATCTAATCAGACACAGCAGCTTATAGGCAGCAGGGTGCTCTCCATTTTGGATAACCATCTAATTTTACTCTGAAGTACTAACACTCCAACTCCCAATCCCAAACCATCAAAAGGCCTCTCTTTTCAGTGGTCACATCCAATTCTTCCTCTGTTCTGGGGAGACGGACAACAGCGAATGACCACATTATAACTATATCTCCGAAAAGCAAGTAAAACCCAACCTTTGACAAAAGCCTCCCTTTTTCAATGACCAAGACATTAAGACGAGGCGCGACCGTCTTGGCTCTGATTGCTCCGTAAACTCCGGCTGCTCCACCTCCAACGACCACCAAAAGCTCTTCACCCGTCTGCCACGCAATAGAACAAACACCCGGAAGGAGTTACAGAAGGAACCCGCATCGAAAGACGCGTCGAATCAACTGAATTAAGCCGAAAGCCGGCGAGACGTGTTACCTTCTGCGCTAGAGGGACAGCAGCGGAAGAGAATGGCCTCTTCTTGGGATGTAAGAGAAGGAAGCCATAGCTTTTGCTGTTCCCGGGTCTTTCGCAGGAGAACCCCAGATGGAGGATGAAGCGGGCCAAAGCGAAGTTCATGTCCGTGCCCAGTGCCCGGCGACTGCGACAGACACCGGCCTCGCGAAAAATGTCTCCGGCGACAGCGGATGATGTGTTTTGCGCCTGATGTTCGGTATAGACAGTTAAACCGCAGTTCAAGATGTTTCAGGCGTTTAAAGCTATGTCGCGACGAGGAAAGATTGCTAATGATTGCTAATGATCACGTGTTAGCAGAAAAATTAGCGCTTTGAATTGAAATTTTCTCGCTTTAATTGTTTAACAAGCGTGTCTTAAGAGCATTTTTCAAATAAGATCTAATTCTCATGTAAATTCCTCTTCATAGAAATGATATGGCGGACAAACTCAGTATATGTCTTATATATCAGCTTGATCTGAAAACTGATGAAATTTGACCGCGGCTAGTAAACAGCATGTCGCCCCGCTAGTGCTCCCCCGGGATCAATGAGGAGTGCATTTCGCGTTGTTTGTTTGGCATGCATAAATGCTCGTTCCTCAGTTGCGAACTTGTACATGCCCGTTCGATTTCTAACACTCTTGCCAAGCTGAAGCGATGCTGTCAACAAAGCTGTTCGATGAATGTTCGACCGTGCGCCCGGAATGTGTACATTGACAGGATCATTTGCTGGCAGGGTGTGGTGGATTCATGCATGTTGAGTAACCATCGAGACGGGGAGATAGTTAAGACATCGAAATTTGTCGCTGAATTCTTCTTCTAGGGTCCTAATGACATGCTCTCGGGATTTTTCCAGGAGGATGTACATCGTAGATTCATAGCGGACCTTGGCTGGTCGAATGCATGAAGCAATCGTGCTCGAGAGGAGGATGTTTATTAAGTCATTAGCATCTGTCTGAATCACCATTATCCGACGACTCCCATATCTAAAGCATGGATGTCGCAGTAATTGCTGTTAAAGAACTTCAACTGATGGCAAATCTGCGACACTTGGGGCTCACTTCAATTTTGGATCATAGCGAGTTACGGAAAAGTACGATGATTGTGATACAGTGATGAATGTAATATAGGAGACGGTATCGCAAAAGTAGATGAGTAAGTAACTGAATTTGCATGCACAGATGCCTTATATCTGCAGCGTCAAGCTCCAGCACACGTTCAATTATGAAGAGAATCTGTACTGGGAAGACGGCCTTTGCTCCTTACCGGCAACGCAACTACCACCAACGCCATCAACAGGTGGCCACCACCATATTGGAAGCGAAGTTTAGAAATCATTTCAACAGGACATTATTTTGGGACCTCTTGCATGAAAACCAATCGCTGAATTGTCGAAGTCCTAGATACTTTACAAGAGAAAGATTTGCTGAGAGCAAATCACTGAGAACCTTGGACAGCAAAACTATCTTTCTGTAATCTAACCTTTGTCAATAACATATCAACAACCCAAACGTGAAGCCCTTTTCTCTGAATCTGGTACATGCCAGAGAAGCCGAAAGTACGTGAACTTTCTGCAGTGGCCAATCACCATGGTTACCTTGAAGCGAGACTCCCCGGAACTGAAATATCACTCGCCACTGGCAAAAAAATTGCAGAAAAAGGAAACTTCGTTGGAAAGGTACAAAAATTTCGACGGAGTAATGACATAACAGTACCAACCCCACCATCATCGTACACCACCTCTATAGATTGGACTTATCAGTTGTCAGCTTGAATTCCCATAGTGAGATGAATACATGCTAGGAATTAAACATTATGGAAACTATGAACAAACCTTTTGATGATGATGGAACCACCACGATGTGCATAGGTGCATTATTGGGAGGAAGCTGTAGCCGGAGGGGATGGAGCTTCTTGTTCCATTGAGAGCAGATCATGATATCCTCATGCCCTGTCTCTTCCTCTAATTTCTGCACCAGCTCCTCCAATCTACTTCCCTTGAACGTGAACGAAAGCTCTTCATTCTCGTCCTTAGTGTTTCCGTCTTCATCAGCCACTTTGTAGAAGATTATCCTCCCTTCAGCTTTCACTGAAAGCGAATCGTTATGCTGCAAAACAAGAAAACCAGAAAAAAGAATGTTCAATTGCACCTCACAAGTGTTCTGCATCAAATCATACTTTCCCAGAAACCAGATTGATTACAATTCATCAAGGGTGTCAGGGGGGAAAGGGGGCACGGCTGCAATGCGTGAAGATGCTACTCATAGTGTCGCATTTTGCCAGATGCACAAAAGGAAGTTCATTTGAATGGAGCATGGACTTGGATGAAAAAAACGCTGCATTGGAAAGACCAGCATACAATTCTAAAAATGCCAGTTGATATGATTATTGAAGAATAAGTTTTCCCGAGACAGAAAAACTCCAATTGCTAACCATATGTTCCGAAGCTCAAGACACGAGCAGAATGTCCGTTCAGGATGCATCGACACGCGTAATGATGAGAGTAGGCTGTTTAGATTAACATTATCATCGGTCGCTGAAACTGATCTCTGTCTAATTAGCTAATTCTTACGAAGAAAGTCATCCTTCATCCCTAAAGTATATATCCTGGTCGATCTAGTAATCAAGGCGTAAGGAAATAACCTCAAACTCTGATGATTTCGGCGAGCGGAGCTCTATCGAGGAAGGAGAGTCCAGTTCCGGGAGCGATGGTTCTGAATCACAATCCAATTCTGCCTCTGGCAACGGATTAATTGGCTGTTCCCTGGTCTCCACAACATCGACATCCCACAGAATCCAATCCTGGGTCGAGGTCCGGTGCGGTATATCGTGCGTGATCGAGTTCCTCCAGGGCGGCAACCCCCCGTTCGCGCGCAGGAAATTGCAGTATCGCGTCTTGAGCCGGACCTGGACCCCGTCCCTGATGGGCTCCCATTCCAGGGACGAATCCAATCTCCCGGTCGGGAGGGTCTGCAGGACCTTCTTGCCTGTCATCCCCAGGAGGAACGGCACGTTGGACGCCGTCAGATACTTGCCGTAGCAGCTCTTCAGGCGCACAACGCCGGCGCCTTCCACGAGCTCCACAGTCCACTTGGCCTGCCTGACCGACCCGTTGCGGTCCTGGCACACGGACTCCCCGTCCTCGCCCGCCAGCAAGTACTTGTCGTGGTGGCCAAGGAGGCGGACGGATTTCGCCTTGGTGAAGAACTCCATGCCGCCCTGATCACGGGGTGAAAAAACGGGAAACGAGAATCAATCCTGGGGACCAGAAAGAAAGAACCAACGATGCATTGCTGAATTGGAAGATGATGGTGGTTCCATTTCAAAGGGTCCTGGCCATATCACCTGATCTGAAGAAGCAAATGATCAGGCGAAACAACGTTGGTTCTTGTTCTTTCCGACAGAAGGGCGGCAAGAGAGAGGGGACAATGTGGAAATCAATGTGGTCGGGACGATGTCGGATTCAGGATTGAGAGAGAGAGAGAGAGAGGAGGAGAAGATGATGAAGATGCTGGTTAGGGGTGGTTGACAGTTAGGGAGTTTTAACTATATATTGGCGTTTCGGCCATTGGTAGCGTTTGGTTAAAGCGGGCATAACAAGGAAGGATTCCTGATATTCTTCGCGCGACCTTTGAAAATTTCCTCTTTATTTTTTTTCCCTTTGTTTTACAGGAAAGTTATTTTTTTTCAAAAAAAAAAGAGAAGAAGAAATTATAACTACTATCTTACGGCGAGATTAATTTCGAGTAACTCGTACCCGATCGAATCAAGGTAACCAATATCCCTTTCACGTGCAACTGCCAAGTTCGATCGCTTGATTTTACTTGGCCTAATTGCTGTAACAACATTTTGAAAGTGATTTTCATGCCGAAAACAAATAAGGTGGTTCATCTCGGATTGACCGTATAGATATATTGCGTATGAAGAGGTTTTGTGAGTGTGGAAAAATGATTTAGTTCAACTTAGACTTTGTTTCGCGAAAAATGGATCATTTTTTAAACACATTTTCAAAATAAAATCACTTGCATCACTAGAAATAAATAGTTAATGAAAAATATTTTCGTTATGCATAGCAGTTTATGTTTAAACATTTTTATGAATGATTAAAATATTATTCGTTCACTCATTTTTGTAAGCGATAAAATCGATTATTTTTAAGAAAATGTTTTCGAAATCATTCATTTTCCACAAAACAAATACAACCTTAATCTTCTACTTTTTCCCCTAAAAAACAGTTTCTTTATCTTTAAAGCATATATCTCCTTTTTTTTACTCAACATCTGAGTCGATGGTATCTTAGATTATGACTCATTATACAAATGACAAAAGATTGTACCTATATCTAAGAACATACTATTCATTAATATGGTAAATGCTAGATCTACAAAAATCAATTTTCAAAGCAGAACGATAAATGTATGGATGCTCAAATACAACTCGTTTGTTTGGATGCCCATTTCGGTGTTTCTGATATCAATTTTTAAATTAATTTAATAAATCGGTCTTTCTACTCTTAGATTTTATCTTTACTTAGATCCCATTCTATGCATTTTTATGAAATTTAATCGACAATAAATATATTTCGGAATGAAAAATCGTTATGCTTTTTTTCCCTACTTTTTAAACCCGTCAAAAATTATGGAATTGGTGGGGCTTCAAAATTCAGATAGTGTACCTTTTGGCTTTGCTTAAAGCTAAGAGAAGTGCTCCCAAAGTCCCAACTCCAAGGCAACATGTTAGGCACAAAATCCCAAGCAAAAGAAAGGAAGAAGTAATGGTAGCTACCTTTAAGATTGATCTATGAAATTTCTAGAATAAAGCCAACGGAAAAAAACCTCCAATTTCTTCTATTTATACAATTTCGCCTCTGGACTTGTTTTTGGGAAAATTACCAAAAAGTCCTAAACTTTTTGCAATTATGCCTATTCAGTTCTAAACCTTTTTTTTTTTGCCAATTCAGTCCTAAACCTTTTGCAATTGTACCAATTCAGTCAATCCGGCCACTTTTGGCCGGCCGGCGCTGACGTGGACGCCGGCCGACTGACATGGCAATATTTTAATAAAGTTTTATTATTTTTCGATTTTATTTTTATTTTTTTCTCTTTCTTTTTTTTTCCCCTATCTTCTTGCCCGAGGCCGGCGAGGCGAGGCTGCGGCCGGCAAGGTCGACCTCGCGAGGCAAGGTCGACTGGGCGACGGGCTCCTGATTTGGCGCTCGCCGTGCAACGAGGCTCGACCTCGATCTAGGGCCATGGCGAGGTCGACCGACCTCGCCATGACCGCCGAGGCGAGCTCGAGCCCTCCATCGCAGCAAGCCTCGCCACGGCGAGCGAGGTCGAGGTCTCGCAGTTTGGGCGGCGTCGCCCTGGGCGAGGCCGACCTCACCATGACCGGGTGACGGCGAGGCCGCCCAGATCTAGGAAGACCTCGCCGTCGTAGGGCAAGGCCAAGCCTTGCCATGGACTGCGGCGAGGTGGAGTCTCGCCATGGCCAGGGCGAGGCTCGACCTCGCTCGCGACGGTGGAGTCTCGCCATGGCCAGGGCGAGGCTCGACCTCGCTCGGCGACGGTGGAGTCTCGCCATGGCCAGGGCGAGGCTCGACCTCGCCCATGGCCGATAAGGTCGAACTCGCCGGCCTCAGCCTCTTGCCAATCGCTGGACCGGCGACCAAGGAAGAAGATAGGAAAAAAAAAAAAGAAAAAAATAAAAAAAAATTATTAAAATATTACCACGTCAGCCGCCGGCGTCCACATCAGCACCGGCCTGCCAAAAGTGGCCGGATGGACTGAATTAGTACAATTACAAAAAATTTAAAACTGAATTGACAAAAAAAGAGATTTAAGACGGAATTGGCGCAATTGCAAAATGTTTATGACTTTTTTGATAATTTTCCCCTTGTTTTTTGTGCAACACTATCCTTGAATTATATAACTTTTTGTTCGCGGTTGTACTTTCGGTTGTACTAAGTGTTGCGTTGGTAACTACATGGCTATTACTAATTTAAAACATCGATACATATACATATATATTGTTGAAGTAAATAGGAAATTTGGAAAAAAGAAAGAGTGGCGGCGGGCCGTCGGCAGCGGCACCCAGCTACCAGCAAGAAGACTCACGAAAAAGAAGAAGAAACAAAAGCTAAGAAAACATGTGATATCTCGTTGCGACGCCAGGTAAGTTACGTTTGATATGTCATTCCGCATATCTCAACACCTTCGTGTAAATTACTTAATTCTTTCTATAGCCTGCAAACATATGCATTAGATTACTATATGTATGAGCCAGAGAGAGGGAGAGAGAGTATAATATTCTTTTTTAGACAGTACAATAATTTGAAGGGTGTTTTTTTATAGACAGCATAATAATTTAAACTAAAAAAGTAGTATTATACTCTCTCTCCCCCTCTCTAGCTCAGACATACATAGTAATCTAATAACATAAGGAGTGCAGTTGGTCAAATCTGGCGACGCGACCGGAACTAAACTAACATGTGATCAACTTCGACAGAAGACAACTGGTGATGGACAAAGACGGATCATCATTTGATACATATGGTCCTTTCCTTAACTAATGCAAAGTTAGGCTGTCCGCTCAGCAATATTCGAAGAGACCCAAACCGACCCGAGCGCGAACGCATGTGAACCTTTTAGATCAGGTGAATCTCGCGTGAAGTGTATCGGATTCATCGACTGTGAGTTTCGTGGTGTTGCGGCTCGCGTGAGCCCTGTGCGAAAGAACTTGCTACGATAGAACGGAAAGGGAAGGGACCTTAGGGGCTTACCTTGAAGCTGCGCGATGGCTTCCTCGAAACCACCATGTCCATGCCCCCCGCCACCGCCGCGGCTGCACTCCTCACGTACTCTTCCACCGAGTAATCCTCCTCGGACGACGACACGAAGCTCGATTGGGACGACAGGTGGCCACGGGCCGAGTCGGCCCCGTGAGGGTCCGCCGCGAGGTCGACCACGTCGACTTCCCACAGCACCCAGTCCTGCGTGGCCGTCCGGTGGGGGATGTCGTGCGTGACCGAGTTCCGCCACGGCGGCATGCTCCCGTTGCCGCGCAGGAACATCCCGCCCTTCGCCCTCAGCTTCACGCACGTCCCGTCCTTCCGCGGCTCCCATTCTACGGACTTATCGTTCTTGGATTGCGGAGTTGATTGCGCCACTTTCTTGCCTTTAGAAACATGGGTAGTGTTCAACATTAATTAAGCTCATGCTAGAAAAAACCCTTTTCAATATGACCAAAACCAGAACTATATGAGCTGGACTCGGTGGTTGTTTTGGCAGAAAAATCATAGCAAACTAATGACTAATGACGTTTTTGAACCCGATACCGAGCCTAAAATCGTTAATTTAAGTGCCACGGTTAGGAATTATTAAAAGCTCTTGAGCAATCGATTGGGGCCTAATCGAGTTTAACGACTGAGTAAGTCGGGATCGAGAAGGGAATTGTTTATTTAAAGCCATTTTTTAAAGGGGGGGAAAATAGACCAATTTTAGCTTGGTAAACTGAAGTCATTGGGTTAAACAAAAAAAAAACAAAACAAAACAAAACACTAAAGTCATCATCCAAGCTTTATAGATAAGGTTGGCATTGCAAGACTTGCCAACTCGCTAGCTTCGTGATAACGGACAAAAATTCTGAAAATGAGTTGGACATTACTAACTTCGAAGATATGATTCGTAATTTACAAAGACAATTCGGTAATTTTTTCAAATGGGTTATTAATTTTATGTTGGTAATTTTCAAGTTTTTTTCTCATCAAAATTTTTTCTAAGAGCATAAAATTGAATCTCAGATAAAAACTCAAACCGAACCCAGAAAGAAAGCGAAAAAGAGAGAGGAGAAATCAGATCAGAAAACGAAGCGAAGCCTCGTTCGATCCTCCCACCCACGCACCTGAAACGCTGAAGAGGTAAGGCTCCTCCGTGGCGGCGAGGTACTTGCCGTAGCAGCTCCGGAGGCGGACGACGTGGCTGTTCCCGGCGACGCACTCGACGGCCCAGCGGGCCCCGCGGGAGGACCCGTTCTTGCTCTGGCGGACCGTCCCCCCGGCCTCGTCGGCGACGAGGTACTTGCCGTGGAAGCTCCGGAGCCGCACCGCCTCGGCCTTGTTGAAGAACTCCATGATCGATCGATGGTGATGATGATGCAAGCAAAAGATGGGAGGGAGGACTCTATGAAATGCAAGCTAAAGCTGTTACGTGCTCTTTCTGTACGATTGATTGATCGTACCAAGCAACGACCAAGACTTTGTAGGAGATGGCCATGGGCGACTTCGGGGTTGAAGAGGGGGGAAGTACATATGCTTTTATGGATTCATGAACGATATTAAATGCTAGATATTTGGACAGATTCTATAGGTTAAAAATCTTTGGGCCCAGATACTATTTTTTATGGAGGAAAATGGGAGACTGATTTGACCGGTTTCAAACTTCTTTTCACTTTGCACTGTTCCCTCTGGGGATCCAAGCACCATCCATCATCCTCCGTGACCAAAAGTGAAAAGACATTTGCAAGATCTAGCAAAAGACCCAGCAAAGAATCAAGAACCCCATGAGAATCAAGCAAACAAGTAAGGAAAGGACCGAGATCTGAGTGCGCCCGGAGAGTTCTAGGGAGCTTCGAAAGCAAAGGTGGAGAATAGGGACCCCCTGGTGAGCCGGGTTGGAGGAGAGGCGATCGGCGGTGACGGCTTGCCTTAGCGGCCTGGGCGGCTTCTTCGCCGAGGGAGGAAGATCTCAACCTTGGAACGCCCGGAGTGACGGTGCTGTTAACACCACCGTCGAATTGGCGGTGCCTCGAGTTTCTCGGGCTGCTTGTCGAGGGGCTGCAGGTGGAGGAGATGGATGTGTTGTGTGGAGAGAATTGTTTAAAAAGTTCTTAACTTGCTATACAGTGGCCAATTCACTCTTTGAACTTAATCGTAAATTTTTTGATGATTTTTCAAAGTAGTCGCTTTGATCGATTTTGGCTGAAAATTGCTTACGTAATGGTCCAATCAACACCAACTGTCCTACGTGACATGGTTAGCGCTGACGTGGATGATTTTTGCTTTTTTTTTAAAAAAATTCTGAAATTTGCTACTTTTTTCCCTTTGTCTTTTTATTCCTTTTTATTTTCCTTTTTGCCTGTGGCCGGTCGTCGGAGGCGGTCTTGGCGATGGTTAACGGCTAACGACCAGTCACAGGTGAAAAGGAAAAGATTAAGGGAAAAAAATATAAAATCAAAAGAAAAGAAAGAAAAGGAAAGGAAAGGAAAAAAAAAATTAAAAGGATTGCAAAAATCATCCATGTGAGCTTCGCTAGCCATGTTACACAGGACAACCGACGTCTACATTACCAATTTTCTATACTGACAAATCGTTAAAGGTTTTAGGGCTAAATTGATCAAATTAAAAAGTTTAGAATTGAATGGACCGCCGTATAATAAATGTACTTTTTGAACAAAATTTTTACCACTTTGCGGTATTCTATTCTTCCCAAGAAGCTTGAAGGCTTTCAATGATTAGATTCCAGTGGAGTCGCAATATAAAGTGAAAGTGGTGTGCCTGTTGAGTTTGTTGGGTTGCCTCTACATTTGGACAACAATGAAAACTACAGTTGTGTGAAAGAGTGAATTTTGGGGTTAGATTTAGAACGAGTATGGAGGTTCTTCTTTTCTCTCTTTATGCTTTCTTTAATTTCGCTGATTTGTATATTAGCTGTATGATTTGGCGCGGACTTACGAGGCTTGTTAGGTGTCGGAAAGAAGAAAAATTAAGTGACCCATATATGACCCATTTATTTTTAAATGGGTCATATATGGGTTTAAGACCCATTTTGACACCTCTAGTTAGGTGTCGGAAAGAGAGAGCGAACACGTGTTTTAATGTGTTTGTGGACATTTTTAAATTAGTGAAAATCCCATGAAGCAAGTCACAAAAACTATTCCGACAAAAAAAAAATCAGAAAAAATATGAAACCGGACAAGCCCGTCTCCAGGTTTCCAACTCTGAAATTTGTGGCTGATGATAGACCGTCCATTTTTTGTAAAATAACGGGACTGTTACGTGCTCATTTCTCAAAATCTTTCTATTGTAGGTTGCCGCTTCGTATGCGGAAAATATTCTCTTTTGGAAAATATTTTCCCGAAAGTCATTTTCCTGGAAAATATTTTCCGGGAACATAATTTTCCGATGTTACGACCAATATGAAAAAGTTTTGAAAATATTTTTCCGGCGACGGGCGACGCCGTGGCGGCGACCGCTGGCGGCTGACCGACGACCGATGGGGCGTCAGCTACGGCCAATACCTGGGTCAGGCCGGCGACCGGCGGCGGGCGCGGCGGCGGCGGCGGCGTGCCAAAGGGACTGGCTAAGGCCAACGTGGGCCAGCCATCGCCGAGCCGACCGGCGGCTGCATGGCGCGGCTGGTAAGCGACAGCAACGCTGACCGGCGATAACGGCGGGCCCGGCCGGCAAGCAAGGGCAATCACGGTGGCTGGCAACCGGTGGACCGCGATCAACTTTCTCTTCCACGCAAACGCTTTTCCTCCCATGGGCAATTTTACCTTCACTTTGAGGGAAAATGATTTCCTCTTTAAAAGAGGAAATCATTTTCCTCAAAACAATGAAGGATTTGGGGGTGCGGTCCGCCCCCGAACACCGGAAAACGCGAAAAATATTTTCCGAAAAAATATTTTTCCGCAAACGAACACAGCCGTAAATCACTATTATCTTCCCCGCTTAAGTGAGACCCGGGTTTTATGCGGAAAGATGATCGAGACCACTCTCTCAAACGACCAATTCAACATCCTCAAGTACCTAAGTCCATTTTGTCGTGTCTCGTCGATGATCGACCGAGATTTGTTCTGTTCTTTAGTGATCCAACGATCGACAACCCCCCCGAAGATCCAATCGTCAAAGATTTGATTTGGACTCACTAATCTTAAGGGTTTAAGTGGACCCAAAATGGACCCAAAACAAGTGGAAATCCACGTAACGATTCTTCTCAACTCCATCGTGGAATATGCGTTTGAAGCTCCACAACCGAGTCTATTGTGAGACCGAACCCCTAATTAGCGAACTTAAAGCACCTAGATCGTACTTACAAACCAATTTCAGGTATACTCTTCTCGTTAACAACTAGGTCTACTAATATTTTGATAGGGAAATTGAACTCAAGAGGAGAAAAAAGTCGGATAGACTTGCTTCGTAGATGATGTGATAGACAAGGCTAATTAAAATATAAAAAAAAAAGTTATATGAAAATTTGCGTTGTTTTTTAGTGGGACCCGACATGAGCTTGGAAAAATTTTGGGACGTGAACAGCTCGGTCTACGAAACGAGTCTACTTCCCATTACTTCAACCTCCCAGATCCAAGCTTAGTTTACTGTGGAATGCTTGGCTTGCTTGCATGCGGGTCAATGGCACAAAACATACTTTGCGCTTACCAAGTTTGCAGTACCGTGCACTACACGGGATTACGTAGACTTCACTTGGTCCAAAGTCCAAAACAGGTATAGTTCTTTGAGAGCAAACATCCACATCAATAAACATCCTTGTTGCACAACGTACACATAAGAAAAATTTGCATAAATTATAAATTCCGCCTACTCTAGCTAGTGTCGATGACAATCAAATTAGAATGGCAATCAGGCACGGTAACATCCAGATACATCATTCGCAATCATTTTTTTCACTCGGGTTCATGTCGGCGCTGTGTTTAAAAGTCCGAAATCCTTGTTCGAATAGTGCCTGCGGCTGCAAGTTTGTAGGCGTGCAAAGATATATGTTCTTACATCGGTTCTGATATATACTTGTTAGCTCGATGGTTTTCGAAATTTGTTTTAAATCCACGGAACTGGGACTTCAGGCGGACCTAATTTTGATTAGAAAACAAGAGTTGGAGCAGCAGCAGCAGGAATGGAGAATCGTTATTATTATCTATTTTCTGAACAGCCGGACCAAGTCTGTTACAGCACTTGCTGTCTGGATTTCTTTAGGCTACAAACAAGATATGTTTTTTTTTTTTCCCGAGGTCAACTGGTTCCTCTTCTCAACAATCGCCATCGATAATGCATTGAGTGTCCTACAGAAGAAAGTCAACCATATCAGTCTGACCCACCAGATTCTCAACTTAAATTATCCATCTTTCCCACTTCAATGTCTAATAACAAGCTTGAGTTGATGATTTCTCAAACACAAACGTGAGTTTGCCGAAAAGAAGTTTGCATGTTTTTTTTTCCTTCCTTCAAAGTTCTCCTTCCTTTTTTGATTTGGTGACAGACGAGTCTAAAAATGGGGAATGAACTCCAGGGAACATCAGCAGAGCAAAGTGATACGACTTCGGTTTTTGCACACCCGATTGCTTTGTTTTCTTAATTTTTTTCTACTTGGGAATTTCGTTGGATGAAACTACACGGATTTGTGTTTGCGTTTGGGTGATTTCTTGGCGTTGGTGCCATTGCAAAATTGTGAAAATGAGAGGTTCTCCTGTGATGAAGATGGTCATTCTCAGCCTCCTGCTCTCACTGCTGGTCCACTATTCTGCTTCATTACCCTTGTGCGCGGATTTGAGTATGTGTTTGTTTGCTTCTTGTGTCTCGCTCTACATGCTTCATTCAATGTTCTATTGTTAACAGAGGTATAGAGATTGATATGATCTGAAATGGGAGGAAATATTATATGTTTAGCCCGCAATTAACCTGTTTGTTTTTCCTTTTTGTGTGCTTTATTCAAATATATCGAACTTTGGTTTGTGAATCGGCGCCTCACTGTTTGGGATTGTCATGCTTTGTTCTGCTGGAAACAGGAGCACCCTTCAATGCTGATAATGCCAGTCTCGCCTTTTGTCGATACAAGGGCAGTGTTTGCTGCACTTCTGCTCAGGATTTACAGCTGCAGAAGCAATTCAAAGCGATGAACATCTCAGACCCTGGTTGCGCTTCTCTTCTAAAGTCGATTCTTTGCGCGGTAGAGGCTTCGTTTCCTGTTGCTCTGATGTTGCTAAACACATCTTTGGCTTGATTGATTGCCTTTTCATTGGGAGTAGATTAATGTGTAGTTAAAGGAAGCAGAATCTAATGAAAAGCCAATTTGCAGTCCCGGGTTTCCACTTCTCTGAAATGATTTCTCTTTCGGAGTACTTTTTTTCATGTCTCTGAAGCTTCCATGAAGGTGTAGCTACAGCGATGTTTGTGTTGCATTTACATAGCATAGCTATTAGAGGGGGAAAATTTCAAACATCCTTAGCCATTTTACATATTGGGGGTCTGCTGGCTTTTTGCAGAGATGTGATCCATTTTCGGCTGAACTGTATCAAGTCGAACAAGCACCTCGTGTGGTTCCTGTTATCTGCA